CAACGGAAAAAACGACAGGTAAGAGACACAAATACAAAAATGTGTAGGATGAAGCCAGCAAAGAATGAGACAGAAATATACATACTATTTAATACAGCGCCATCTGTGAGATTTTTTAATACTAACGTGTGTATGAAAGCTCTTGTAGTGAATTTTAATTTAGGATTATACGTGAAATTAAAATATCAATTCACAGAGGGCGCTACCTTACAATTATTTACTAATGACAAAATTTTACATATACTTAAGACGTTTAGGATAATTGTATTTTAATTTTGGAAGGTTTCACTTCTACCACGTGTGAATTGTACACATTTTTTTTTTTATTGCTTAGATGGGTAGACGAGCTCACAGCCCACCTGATGTTAAGTGGTTACTGGAGCCCATAGACATCCACAACGTAAATGCGCCAACCACCTTGAGATATAAGTTCTAAGGTCTCAAATAAGTTACAACGGCTGCCCAACCCTTCAAACCGAAACGCATTACTGCTTCACGGCAGAAATAGGCAGGGTGGTGGTACCCACCCGCGCGGACACAAGAGGTCCTACCACCAGTAACCTATTATTGTGCTTACATTCTTTCCAAACTCTCGATCGTTTTCAAGACCGTTTAATTTACAGAAATTCAGGAAAAGATAAAGATATAGCAGGCATATTGCAGTGTACTATTGGCACATGTACTATATTCTAGAAAATATATATACATACAATAAATAGATATATACCGATAATGTATAGTATAATAGGTATGTAATAAATAGAGGTTGTTTTAATTATGTCTATTACTACTCATGAAAATAGAAAAAATACTATGCATATTTTATCAATCATTGAAGAAATACACATCATATGTCTTTATAACATGTACTTTACCTTACAGCTGACTCTGAATCAAATACTGGTGGTAAATTCCTTTGCACCACACCCCCAGATTCGATTGCAAGGTCCACCTTTTCGTCATCATCCTCATTCAGAGTCGCCTTTTTCTCATCAGAATCTTTGTTTTTTTCATCGTCAGCATTAGCAATCCAATCGTCCGGTGCAAAGCTTTCATTCAAAAGTTTCTTTAAAATGTTCTTGGTTAAGTTCTTATCCACATTCTTTATTGCATAGAGTAAAACCTATAAAATTTCCTTGAATGAGTTACTTAAGTCAAAGTACAAAGAAATTTAGGATTAAGAAATTTGTAGCTGAATTCTTTGATTACGTCGTCTTTATCTTTTAATTAGCTCTGTGCTAAAAAATAGAGAAGCAGAGCATGAAAGCTCTTCTCTCTTCACTTCAACACATAGCCCTTGAGCCCATGTGGAGTACGGTTATCTCCAGTTCCAAACTCTGTTTGAGGCAGCCTCCCTGGCCGATGTGGCCCAGGAGCATACAATCTGACATACCTCATAGAGTTTAAAGTAATGAAAACTGGTTAGCAATGTATCGCAATTCAATCCTGTAGGCTGATTTTGATCACACAGAAAACAGCAATGCACTCTATGAAAGCCTATTGAAAAAAAAAAAATTTTCATCCACAACTCCATGAAACAGACTTCCTTGACGTGGCAGTGCTGATTGTCCTACATTTTACACGAATCTATCCTGAGCTACATGTGCTTCGTCGCATGTTTCTTCTTCATATTTGGACAATGAAGCTATTATTGTTGTCATATTTTGGAAGTCCTTCTGATAAAAATATTTTACTGTTAATAAACTAATTAAAACTATACATACCTGTAACAATGCTGAAGTCAGATTTTGGTAACCCATATCCTTAAACTGTGGCCATGAGGAGAGTCTCTCAGCAAACTCTCTAACTATACCTTTATATTCATCAGGAACATTTTTGTAGGCCATCTTTGATATGTGAGGCGGTATACCTGTTGAAGATGCATATTTGAAAGCTCCAAAGGGATTCACTCACCAGGTTTTATTCATTCACTGAAGCTATGAGCTTGAACTGATGAACTTGAATATTCACTGAAGGTCATAGACATCACAATGTGAAGGATGTTATAACACTTGAGACACGAAGTGAAGTCTTATTTGTACAGATATCCCACTCTAAAACCTAGTCTCCGCTACATCTACTATAATTACTTAGTTATAGTAGATGTAGTATAGTGGTAGCTAATTACAGGGTATGTTTCAATTCAACGGTTTTTCTGATCACAGCTTAAAAACCTATTATTATTCGCAAATTTGTACCTTTCTTTCCTCCAACAGTTTCTTTGAAGAGATTAACTTTGGGCTTCTCACCCGGCAGCAACTCAATACCACTAAGACACTTCAAAGCACTTCTCAATATATGATTAGCATAATTATCCCAAACAAAATCCTCCAGATTATTTAGTGCATATTTACATAGCTTCAATGTAAATTCAGAACAAGTTTTTACATGCTCATCACTGTACTTAGAGACAATCTCCAATTTAACTTTCTTCTTAGGAATTTCATCACAATCCTCGGAATCATCAAGATTCTGCAAATGCTCAGTTGCACGTGTACACGATACTCTAAGTAATGTTTCTATGACGTGACTAGAGAAATTATCCGAGCAGAGTCTTCGTAGTTCAGGGGTCACAGCGTTGATGAACCGTTCTAGGTCTGCTGGTGATGCATAAGGTAGTAGAAGCTCTATTACTCTACATCCAAGCTGGTTCCCGATTATATTAATTTCTTCATCCTTCGTTCTCTCAAGTACATTGTTTACAAGGACATCTGGAAACATTTTTTCTAAATGTAGATTAAATAACTACTAGTAAACTTAGAAATGTGAATGTATCTTGAGACCATACCAAACATGCGGTCTAACCCATATTTGTATTGTTGTATCAAGGCAGTTCCACCCATCAAACCAATACGCATTACCTACTATCTCGAGGCAGAAATAGGCAGGTTAGAACCCCGCGAGTTCACGTACTCGTTCAGAAAATATAATATAACCCATTGGGGTTATAAAAAAGGCAGAATGCAGGATACATTCACATTTTGTTTAGGTCTTATTTGTACTATCTCTAGAAAAATGGGTCCTGCATAGAAAGGAAGTATTCTGCCTTAAGGCCACATTTGACAAATGAAATCCAGTAATATTAAACTTACTTCTTTCCTCTTGATTTTCAATTCCCTTTTTTATAGCGTCGAGTATACCAACGAAATATTGGTAAAGTTCCTCGGGCATTTTTGTTCCCCTGCCCATTTGACCTTTCTTGGCATATTTCTTGGCATTCGAAAGAAAATTCTTACGTTTCTTACGCGTTCTCTTTTTATTTTCATCATTAACTTGTGTTTCTTCGCTCATGTTTTATCTTATCAATAAAACTAATTGAATTTCGGAGATTTTTCTCTTATTGATCAACGAGTATAATTATGTTACTTACTTTAATACTCTTCATTACCAATGTAAAAATATGTAAACATTGAAGTATGGTTTTCAAATTTCGAGGTTATGTTTAGTAGTAGTTTTATTTTTCCAACCGGAAAGGCAAAGGCATCATACCATACATTGCTAGGGTTCGTGTTATCAACAGGTTCAGGTTTGAGCCCCGTTTTTACATATCTCTTCTCTTAACTTACTACTCTGCGAACAAAAGTAACTTTGGGCTTACGATTTTTAAAATACTTTTTATTTTAAAACAATTTTATGAACAGATGGCTGTAAATGGGCATAGATACCCAAACGAAAAATCCTATAAACCTATAAATGTATCGGCTTTATTATTTAAATAGTACCGACCTAATATCTTAATATTACTAGATGGCCTGGCGCTCTGCTAATTAAGAAAGCCATCGAAATCGCATTGAAAATTTTCTAATTTTTTCAAATAACATTTTTCAATAACATGAGCTTTGATAAATACTTCGGTACTTTATTTATAATTCTATGTCATCACTTTTGAATTTGTTTTTTGTATGCCCCACAATCATTTCAAAGTATCTTATGTCATCTTAAAAGAAGATCAATATATTTGTTTCAATACAGATCAATAATCACTACTGCTATTCATACTATATAAGAGAAATATATTGTGTAAGCTAATTATTTAAAAATATGTATAAATGTTTCAATTCTTGCCAATTATAAGTTTGAGAAGGGATTACTTGGAACGGGAGGGAGAAAGATATTTTACCTACATGTCCCGAAAAGCTACTTTTGTATGCCTAAAGTGAACAGTGACGTCGATATTCAATATGTGCTCTATCTTTAAATACATAAAGCTGTAATTTTTCTATTGTCTCCAATCAGCAATAAAATTAAAATAACGAAACAGATTTTCACTTGTTTTCAATTGGCTGCATCTTTGGCTTTTTTGGAAACAGAATATCATAATTCAAAGGGATTTTGGATAAAAAACTGAAATACTAGTTCGGAACTCGCTCTACGGGTAGTAGAGCGTCTTGTAAGCCCGCACCGGTTCCACCCTCACCTCGCTTATATCTGCCATGAATTAGTAATGCGTTTCGTCTTGAAGGGTAGGGCAGCCGTTTTACCGTAAACTAAGATTTAGAACTTGTGTCTCAAGGTGGATGACAGTATTTACGTTGTTGATGTCTATGAGCTCCGATAGCCACATAACTTTATTCGCTAAGCCATGAGCTCATCCACCAATCTAAGTAATAAAAAAGAATAATTTAAACTAATAAAAACCGTAGAATAAACCGTAATTTTTATTCTCACGGTTCGAGAATATCGAAGAAAGCTCAGCCAACGTGTGTTAATCATTTAACATTCAAATCAGGATCCACAGTGTCATAGTTTTACCGTAATGTGAGATAGAAAATCGTATAAAAAACTAATAATGAAACTCGCAGAACTGATAATTTTACTGGTGGTACGACTCTCATATGGCTGATGGCTCACGGCTCTCGTTAAGGCTCTGATACTTATGACTTATTAAGTCTTCATTTATTCATATTAAGGTATCGCCGATGGCATTTATTTGAGGTGTCTGTTGCCCACTTTATACCAAAAGGGGTTTGAGTTTCTCTGCCCAACAGTAAAATAACTTTTAATCAATGCAAAACTATTTGAAAAGATGAAGATAACTAAAGATAAGATGAAGATAACTTTACTGGTGGTAGGACCTCTTGTGAGTCCGCGCCGGTATGTACCACCACCCCGCCTATTTCTGCTGTGAAGCAGTAATGCGTTTCGGCTTGAAGGGCGGGGTAGCCGTTGTAACTATACTCAGACCTTAGAACTGATATCTCAAGGTGGGTGGCGCATTTACTTCGTAAATGTCTATGGGCTCTAGTAACCACTTAACACCAGGTGGGCTGTGAGCTCGTCCACCAATCTAAACAATAAAAAAAAAGATAAATCGTCAATAAACCACGCTAATTCTGTGTTTAACACTAATTACGGTGATCTGGATCACACAAAATAATTTATTAATCAATTGCACAAAATTTTCCCGCGTGCAGTGTTACGATCTCTAAAATAATTCAATGCATTGAAATATCCACCCTAACTACTTGTTTTTAAGTAGAAAATGACGTAGTATCACAATAAAGTTCTCCTACAAAAGAAAACACCTTCAGATGGCTTTGTCTCTTTCTCGCGGTCGAGAAATGTCAGAGAGAAACAAACTTCGCTCGCAGTAAGAGCAAGCCACGCTCCAAGATTAGTCTAACCAACAAAAACCAGTTTATGGCTAGCGAAACGCGTGATATGCCGCGCTTTCTGATACCTACCAATAAATTACTTTTTAGTCACCATAAAATTGTTATATAAAACTAAATATGTAACAGTACTTTAGTAATTTAACTGTTTAACTGTGTTTTAAGTATAAGCCCGTATTTATAAGTATATTTAAAAAAAAATATATATTTAAATTTCACGGACTAAGTTCGATTAATAATATTTTTAAATCGCGCGTGTTATGGTAATTAAATGTAAAGTTGTGTGACCACTCGGAAAGGCGTTGACCGCGTCGCTAAGTACATTTATGACATTCTCCGAATGTTTATTTTAAACTTAAAGTTAAGGTCGGCAAAGGAATTCCGAAAATATTTCAAGAAAAATAAGTTGTGAGTATATAAATATATACTTTATGTTAATTATTAATTTATTTAATGGCTAAGTACTAGACATTTATGTAAATTAGAGTAATTAAACTAGCTTGATAAAATTTTAATGTTTACACAGACACAATACTCAATTTTACTATATTTCGTGAATTCAGTAATAATAATAATACAAATATTATTACAATTCCATCACGATTCAATCACGCAGACCATAATAGATGATTTGCAATATAACAAATGAAAATGGTAATAGTATGAATTTTATAAAGAAACTAACTTACATTTTAAAAATAAAACTATTTAAAAAAATTTTTTTTTCAAAAAACTTTATAAGAATGATCTTCCTTAACATGTCGGAGCACTGGAAGGTAAATCCACCAATATCTCGCTAACATGGGAACCTACCTAAAAAAAAAACAAAATACTTAATTATAATCCAGAAATCTAACCTGCACAATTACAATGTGGACTTTAAGTCAAACAACTTAAATACTATTTTCAACAGAGCAACAATTTATTTAAAACTCACAGACTATTTAAAACTTAACTTAAAGAAGATAAAGATGATTTTTCTTTGTACAGAACTCTAGTATTTTTAGAACAAATTGGAATTTTAAAACATTGTTTAGATACACAGGTAACTATATAGAATCAATTTAGCTACGTAAGAATTGTTATTTTACTTATGTTACGTACAGATGACGAAATAAAAATGTAGCCTATATCAACGAAGTCAGAGTGCAATTCGGGTTACTCTGTTTGATGTCTTATTAGAGTTACCTACATCTTAAATATTAATACGTGAAGTAAAAACTGTGTATCCCTTTTTACGAAAATTGCGCGGACCGAGAAGTACAAAATTTCCCACACTTATAATATAGAGAAGAAGTGCACAATGCTAATATTTTTTTTAAAATAATGCATAAAAGATACATTCAATCAATAAAGAAAACATTACACACACTACCATGTATTTGACACACACACGCATGCATTCTATTTGTTTATTGTCAAACTTTTCTTATTGCATAAAATTCATGGTCAAATTGAGAATAGATTAAATATTGTTTGTCTTTGTTAATATTTGTCTAAAGTTTAGTTTTGGCGAAATCTGTGATTATAGTAGTATAATAAATAGTCTTCGACAATAGAATCATAATAATGTTCAAACGTATGATTTCAATTAATTATAGTCGAATTTCGACTACTGCGGGACCACTAGTTTAGATAGATTCGTACCTGGATTTCGCATCCGAACATCGCCGAAAGTATTTATAAGAAACCTTGGCGGTGACGAATGCTCTAGGCATGCACGGAATTCAAGATCCAGGGTTCATAATACCGAGAAACGTTTTACAGAATTAAACCTACGATCTTTTTACCCGTATAGAAATTTGATATGAATTTGGATATGCACTGTTAGTTTCTTTTCTTTTTTTGCTTATTTGGGTGAATGATCTCACGGTCCACCTGATGTTAAGTGACTAACGGAGCACATAGACATGTACAACGTAAATGCCGCCACCTAGCTTGAGACATGAGTTCTAAGGTCTCAATTTTTACAGTACAACGGCTGCCTAACCTTTCACACCGAACCGCATTACTGCTTCACGGCAGAAATAGGCGGGGCGGTAGTACCTACCTGCGCAAACTCACAAGACGTCTTACCACCAGTAATTACGCAAATTATAATATTGCGGGTTTGGGTTAGTTGGGCTGCATATTAACACTATAAGCGCTTCACAGACCTTTTTTTCCCTACCTATTCTTTGGTAGCTTTGGTAGCTTAGCTTAGAAGGCTATTCCAGCTACGCCCGGATCGGTCTAAAGACTATAAGATATATCGCACGCCACTTCTCTTTCTGAAGTCCGTCAATGTGAAACGGTTTTTTTTCTGACTGCCACGGCTTATAATTTCCTGTCAGTGCCAAAAGGTCAGAGTTTTCTTAAAATTATTCTCATTTTATGAATTGATATTAACCCTTAAGCACGCCTTACGACACTGAATGAATGAATGAATGAATGTATGAAAATTCTTTATTGCACAAAATCGTGTACAAAAGCGAACTTAACGCCATGCAGGCATTCTCTTCCAGTTAACCCTCGTTAATGAAGTGAAAGATTCAAGAAATACGTAGCTGTGATGAAGTTAATACATGGCGATAATTTAAAGAATTACAGTAGACATGAGTAAAATGAACACTAGGTTCGTCATTAGGTAGGACATTCGACGACATAAGTGAATAAAGAGGTAAATATTTAAAAAATTTTGAATTTTTACATTGAATTGAAGGTGTTAAGTACCTTTTTTTTTTTTTTTTTTTTTTTTTTTTTTTTTTTGAAANTCCTCCTAATCCGGGAGGAAATCCGTGTGGAGCTTCCCCTCTGAAATAGCACCGCAGTACTTTTCGCTGGGTTGATGTCTATGCGCCATTTTCGGAACCACTGTCCTAGGGCTAGGGCTGCGCTCTGAAGCTTCTTCGCGATTAGGGACTTATTTCTACTAGAATAGTAAACAGTCGTGTCGTCGGCGAATAAAGCTAAATGGGTTGTTAAGTACCTATAAACCATATTAGAGCTTATAACTCCGAGTTTAAAGGCTATTTTTAGAAATTGCATGTGATGAAAGATTTATGTATGAAGAAAAAGTACCAGTGACAAAAATCTATTGCTCGTTTTCTCAAAATTAACAAATTGTATCATGTCCCCTTCATCCATTAATGTCTTCATTTCTGTCAGCGAAGTGTGTTTCGCGTCGGAAGGCACCAATGACCCACGGTTACACTACGCTACACACGACTTGATAGTGACCGCTGACTTCCGGGTCGAGAGCTGATGGACTGTTTATCATCATCTATAACTCGCGTTGAAGAAAGACGAAGAAAGCTAAATATATTTCATTTACATAAACCTCTTCACGGAGTTTCTCGCCGGATCTTCGCAGTGGGTCGCGTTTCCGATCCGGTGGTAGATTCTACGAAGCACCGCTCTTGCTAGGGCTAGTGTTAGCAATGTTCTCAGGTTAGAGCCCCGTGAGCTCATCTACTAGCTCGGTTACGCTGGCATAGCCTCTAAAGACCAGCTTAAGTAGGAAAAAAAGTCGAATGTGACCGACACACAATTAAGCTCACATAAACGAACAATAAGCCAGTCTTTTGACGAAGCCACTAAAGGGATCTTAAGATTCCGACTCATCACGGTAATTACGTCAAGTAATAGCTAATTAAACTCACTCTGTACAAAGGTCGATGAGTCAAGTGGCGAAGTTTGCTGCTGTTGAAGAAAGTTGGGTTGGAAAACACAGACTCTTCGTTTGCAGTTCGCCTATTATGGTCATGGTGGTACCCACGGGATGACTGTAGAAAAAAAGAAAGACAGCTAAAACGTTGGGAAGATAAAATAAAGAGTGTAGCTGCTCCGCATTGGAGTCGAATGGCCAAAAATAGAGAATATTGGCAATCTTAGAGGAGGTCTTTGTCGAAAGACAAGCTGTTTTGAAAACCATACCGAACGCCGAACGGAATACTTGATTATAAGTTGCATTTAAATTTAATTTATTATTAAGTAATGTATTAAGTTAGTAATTAGTAAGTAAAACAGCAATAAAGGCTTATTATTATTATTATTATTATGGTCAACCGGACAAACCCGGTACAGGGGACTGACCGACCTTTGATTCCACTTTGATCCTGTGATGTATTCACCATCAGAAACACTAGGAACGTGTGTATAATTTCTATATATGTTTAAACGTCAATGTATGTATGTTCCCATAAGTCTCCGAAAAGGCTGGACCAATTCCATGATTCCTCAGATTGGTGTTGAGATTTCCTGAAATTTTATAATCTTTTTTTAAGATAATACTTTTACCTCTCTATTCTATTGCACTTTCTATCAGCAACGCGCTCATCGACAGTGCGTTTCCAAAGATGTTTAGTCAAGTCTAGTGCCCCTAGTCATGCGGATCTGGAATGAATTTCCTTCTACGGTGTTTCCTCAGTGCTATGACATGTCCTCATTCGAGCCAGGTTTTAAGACTGCTATGCGATATGATATGTCCCTGCAATTGCTTACTAATGACTGCGACCTACAATCAGAGGGTTCGTATAATCGTACCCCTGCGAGGGCTAATGGGGATCTTTATGTAACTAAAGGTGACGTAATATCTTTCTCCACACCTGACCAACCATTTTCTTCAGTCATGCTTAGGACACGTGATATCCTCGCAAAACGATACCTACTGATTTTCTCGTAAAGGTCAAGAACTAACCGCTGTTTCTAATCAGTAAAGCGGTTCAGAGCGCGCCCTATCGCCGTCTGACACGCTCTGACAATCACAGAGAAAGCTTTGTGATTAGGGATGCCATCTAATGTTGGGCGCGGCCTTTTAAATAATACTCTCTTTGTATTCTCCAGAGGAACAATGTCGTCCTATTTAAATCTACTAGACGATGAAGTTTTTTTTTCGATAACGCCATCTTGTTGAGTCTTTAAAGCGGTTAGTTGCCCTCAATTAAGAAAAATTGCATTATTATTCGCCAATAGATGTCGGGAAGAGTTGATTATTGAAAACACGAATAAAACAACATTTTCTGAAAATAAATCGTAGCTAGATCGATTTATCGCCCCCGAAATCCCCTATATACTAAATTTTATGAAAATCGTTGGAGCCGTTTCCGAGATTCAGATTATATATATGTATATTAATAAACAAGAATTGCTCCCCGTTTAAATGTATAAGATATATAGGTATATAAAAATGAATTGCTGTTCGTTAGTCTCGCTAAAACTCGAGAACGGCTGGACCGATTTGTCTAATTTTGGTCTTGAATTATTTGTGGAAGTCCAGAGAAGGTTTAAATGGTAGATAGATATGAAAATGCTCGAAATTTAATAAAAATAACAATTTTCTTTTCTCTTTGATGTGTCCCCCGTCGGACGGATTCCTTTTGTTTGTTTTAAGTTTATTTTATACAAAAGTTTAGGTCTTTTATTTATCGCTTGAGGCACTACGAAGTCTGGCGGGTCAGCTAGCCATTAATAAAACATTTGTTGCCTTTTAACAGACTGTTAAGTCAAAATAAGGAATTAAATTTGATGGAAAGACAAAGAGCGACTCAACTAACGCTGTCAATTATATTGGATGTTTCAAACAGCGCTCATTTCTAAGCCCCCTTCGCCCCTCCCCTCTACCTGTGATGCTGTGTGAGACATAGAATTTTCTGGAGGATCCCATTTCATTTCTTATCATGATGTATGCAAAATTACATTACAATGTCATAATAATCTTTATTGAGTGTGGGTTCAGTGTGTGTTTCGAATCAAATGGCCTTGAAAATCCTATAGTAGGGTTTCCAGCTCATGATTCATAACGAATGGTGGATGTTGAGATATTGATTAGCTCCGGTAGCCAATCAAGACCGGATTGACTGTAAGCTGGAAAAATGAAAAGAAGATATGCGTATTTTAAATTAAACCGTATATTTGTCAGCCCTGCAACCACGAGGCTAAGGAACTGATTTAGACATAGCACGAAGCCTGCAATAATTTGTTTAATCCATTATTACACTTTAGTAGAAACGCGACAATCATGACCAACATTTATTGACTTTATAAAAGCTCTAAAGCTTAAAAAAATCAGAAATCAGAAATCATAATATAGACTTTTACGTTTTTTTTTTTATGGAAGAATTACTGGTAACTTGGAAGTCTTCCTAGTGTGACCAGGACAAGTGGGTGAGGTCAGGCCAAGCCAGAAGAGTAGTTTGCTATCGGTTCCACTGCTGAAGCAGGCCTGACAGAACGATGGCAACTGTTTCGCGAATACATCTACTACCTGAGAAAGTCTGGCGAGAAACTCGGTGGGCTGATGTCATGGGTTAGATTTGGTATCACACTCTTTGACGGGATCAACCAATACGGTTATAAGAGGGCCAGGGTGAGATATGCTTGCTACTAGTGTAGCTGTAGACCCATCATCAATTCAATCATCATGATTGAGCATGATCCCAAAGCAATAAGACACAAATTGAAAGGTGGGTCTGAAGGGTTTGGTAGCCGTTGTAACTATACTAAGACCTTAGAACTTATATCTTAAGGTGGGTGGCGCATTTACGTTGTAGATGTGTATGGGCTACAGTAACCACTTAACAACAGGTGGGCTGTGAGCTCGTCCACCCATCTAAGCAATAAAAAAAACAAGTTACGTTTGTGTTGTCATAATCATGATATTTATCACAAATTTTTACGCGCGGCTCCACTCGGGTTAGTGTAAAAAGATTCTTCGTTAACGGTATCTTTCTTTGGGATAAAAGGTTTCCTATATGCTTTTTTTGTGATCGAAAACAAACAAAAATAACAAAAAACCGAATTCCGTCCACTTTAAATCACAAAGTATTTTCTTCCAAGAGACCTCGCATTGATTTTGGGAAGTTTTAAACGTAGCCATGTCCAAATACAAATTAATAAAGTAAATGCAGCTTCTTTGTTACATTTGTAAGGTTTATAATTATACTAGCGACCCGCCCTCGCTTCGCTTCGGAAACCGTAGTTTATTATTGATTTCTCCACTATTTAATGGATGTTATTATACATATAAACCTTCCTCTTCAATCACTCTATCTATTAAAAAAACCGCATCAAAATCCGTTGCGTAATTTTAAAGATTTAAGTATACATAGGTACAGGGACAGAGAAAGCGACTTTGTTTTATACTATATAGTGATTATTATTTGATAGTACTCATGTCTCTAAACGATTATTTCAGAGAATGCGCGAGAGTATGCGGAGGTTAGCCTTTGACGACGGCGAGGAGAAGGCGGTGAGGGGGGTGCGAAGAGTGCGGGTGGAACTCCTCGACGGTGAACATATCACCATCGAAGTACACGTGAGTATTATTTACGAACTAGTTGACCCGGCAGACTTCGTAGTGCCTCAATTGATAAATAAAAGACCTAAACTTTTGTATAAAATAAACTNAATGCGCGAGAGTATGCGGAGGTTAGCCTTTGACGACGGCGAGGAGAAGGCGGTGAGGGGGGTGCGAAGAGTGCGGGTGGAACTCCTCGACGGTGAACATATCACCATCGAAGTACACGTGAGTATTATTTACGAACTAGTTGACCCGGCAGACTTCGTAGTGCCTCAATTGATAAATAAAAGACCTAAACTTTTGTATAAAATAAATTTAAAACAAACAAAAGGAAACTGTCCGACGGGGGACACATCAAAGAAAAAAAGAAAATTGTTATTTTTATTTAATTCCGAGCATTTTCATATTTATGTACCTTTTAAACCTTTTCTGGACTTCCACAAATAATTCAAGACCAAAATTAGCCAAATCGGTCCAGCCGTTCGCGAGTTTTAGCTAGACTAACGAACAGCAATTTATTTTTATATAATAATATATAGATAAACTAACCTATTATAAAAGCTATTGAACAACAGCTTAACATCTTTTAGTCCTCTGTTTGGTCGATAGCTTTTCTTTCTTTTTTTTAGCAGCCTTTAAGGGGCTTAAGTTTTTCCCAATAAGATAGATCGGAAAACATTACATCCATAAGAAATGTTTTTTTTTTATCGCTAAGATGGCTGGACGAGCTCACAGCCCACCTGGTGTTAAGTGGTTACTGGAGCCCATAGACATCCACAACGTAAATGCGCCACCCACCTTGAGATATAAGTTCTAAGGTTTCAAGTAAGTTACAACGGCTGCCCCACTCTTCAAACCGAAACGCAAATGTCAATCAATATCTTGATGAGTTTCGAAGACTCGTATAAAATTAACGGTTGTGTGTTCTCTGTGCGCTCACATGGCTGTCCTCGTCGATCTCATGGACTCCGACGAAGAGTTCGACGTGCGAATTAACCCATTTGCACAACCCAGTGAGTTTCTCGTTAGATCTTCTCAGTGGGTCTCGATTCCGATCCGGTAGTAGATTCAGCGAAGCACTGCTCTAGCTAGGACTAGTGTGAGCTAGTGTTAGCGATTCTCTCGGGTTGAGCCCGTGAGCTCACCCACCATCCACCGGTTCTCGTGAAGTTGGAATAGCCCCTTAGGCCACCAACGATTAGGTAGGGGAAAAATTACTTGGCTTATCCGATTTATTTTAATCTTCGTGAACGGTCGGTTAGTTCTTTTGTCGTCTATTTTATGTACATATAGGATCGAAGGTGGATATTATCTTGTTGAACATCAAGTAAAACGAAGTCACTTTTTGATTCCTGATTTAATCAACATTATGATAACTTAATTCACTTTAACACTTATCCAACCTTAACCAGTACGTACAACAGTCACTTAATCACACAATGTAACAAAGGTATAGTAAGTGCACCGGGCAAACGCAGACGAACGAATGCTCATTGCGAGGCACATACCGCCTTTTTATAACGGCCGGGGCACCTGGATTACCTATGAGTCACTCCTGTTGCACGTGCTATTTTACGAGCGGAATGACACGGCCGGCGCACCTGCCTTGTGTATGAGTCACTCCTATTGCACGTGCTGTATAACAGAAATATCGTTAACGCCATCATACATATGAGAACTGTCAATTCGTTCCTTTTCGTCTGGTTAGTGTTCGTCTTTTTTGAAGTCAAAAAAAGTACTGCCTGGCGTTAGTCACGTCCGCCCTCGTTCCATTTCTCTCTTTATTTTTGAATTCCTGTCAAGTCAAAGAGGTTGCACGACACGACACTTCGTCCGTTTGTTGTGCCATCTCTGAACAGCCTCAATAACATCAGAGAAGATTGGTGGTGTGCGAATGGTTTTAGCAAATGAGGATTTTCATACTTAACCCATTATCAGACCGGCCTGTGATCGGGTTTCACTGTGCACTAACAATCGTAAGCTTATTTCGAATAATAAAACATTGTTAGTCATTTATTTGATCAACTTATATTAATACATGAAGAATTTTAAAAACCTACACAATGTGTCTGTTCAATATTTTTTTAATTCATTCCGAAGCACTAGCGTAAAAAAATGAAAAACAGTCACACCAGTTTTTATTTTTTCTCCCTTTGCCTAATCGCCGGTATCATAAGAAGCTATACTAACTGCTCACGGTTTGGTAAGGCAGCTCACGGGGTTTAACCTAGGAAAAATTGCTATGACTGGCCCTGACAAGAGTAGTGCTTGGCTGAGTTTACCACCGGATCGAAATCGCGACACACTGAGAAGTTCCGGCGAGAACATTAATGGTTTTATTTCGCCAGCTTACGAGATCTACTAAAACTGGTGATCAATGGTCATGTCGGTAATGAACAAATTGACTCGATCGTGCTCAATATATTGTTTCAATGTAGTGTTTTTAAAGAGCACACCGCAGTTTTTAGTAGACTCACTTTAGGATCTTTTACGGGTATTTTACGATTGTTCCACCCACGTCCGCGTGCTGGATAAACATTTGTGGATATCACAGAGAGCTGTTACAATTTGCTTTTTATAGTATTGATTTAATTTAATTTAGTCTACTATTATTTTAAGTTTTTTTTTTATTGCCCTTGTAGGCAGACGAGCATACGGCCCACCTGATGGTGAGTAGTTACCGTCGCCCGTGGACTTCAGCAATGCCAGCGGCAGAGCCAAGCCGCTGCCTACCGCTTAATACTCTCCACAAGCCTCGTTTGAAGAAGGACATTAAGTTTACTTTTATTTAGAGAAGTCTCATCGATCTATCTTGTTCCGTTATATCCGTGTTACACAATGCCCTAGTCAGTTACGTTGCTTGTAGGAATATGTGAGCTCAGTGACTTACTCACATTTGACACATAGATTTAGAATTTGTATAAAAGCTTCTAAGGTAATCGCTATTACAATATAATTGAAGTATTCTATTATAAGTAAGGTCATCAATGCGGTGGACCGACCATATCAAAACTACAGTGGGAGGTCCCCTAAATGAATCCACCAGAATTGCCTCGAGCAGGGAGATATGGTGGGACATTTTGAGACGCTTCAAGTCTGCTTCCTCCAACACTACATAGACTATCACGATCACTAAATCAAGAGGGTCATGATTGAGTAGAAGGAGAATAGTAGTATGCCAATTTTAAAAAAGCAATATAGAAAAAAAGAAAGAAATCATTTATTCACTAAACATAGTGAAAATGAGTTTATTTTATTAGTAATTATTTGACATGCGAATTTTAGTGCAGTGCAAGATATTATGATATTATATAATTTATTTTTCATTCATCCATAATTCAATAAATAATTAATTAAAAAAATCATTTATTTTGAATGTCGTCCCTAAGAAAATCGTTTATGTGATAATAATTTTCACTAATAAGATTAAAATGATATCTCCCAATCAATTGGAAAAATTTGACGGCGCGTCTCTATAGAGATATATAGATCGTTTTGTCTGTTTCTGAAATAGTATCCACGCACTTACTTCCCGATTCCCGTCTCAATAACAACTAGCAGCCGGTCCTGAGTCGGATTATTTTGGTTTTACAATCATAATACAATGTCGTGCCCGAGAAACAACTTTATGATTTACTGAAGACATTAAATATTCTTTCCACTTTGTCTATATATTAATACGTGAAGCAAAGACTTTGTACCCCTTTTTAAGAAAATTGCGCGGACGGAGATGTATGAAATTTTCCATACTTATAGAGAATATAGAGAAGGAGTGCACAATGCTAATATTTTTTTAAAATAATGCATAAAAGATACATTAAATCAATAAAGAAAACATTACACACACTACATACCATGTATTTGACGCACACACGCATGCGTACTATTTGTTTTCAAACTTTTGTTCTTGACGTCTGTTGTCAAATTGAGAATAGATTAAATATTGTGTCTTTGTTAATATTTTTTATAGTGTAGTCTTGGCGAAATTCCTGATTAAATAAGTATAAAATACAATCATAATAGTGTACAAACTTACAATTCCAATTAATTATAGTCGAATTTCGACTACCGCGGGACCTCTAGTATTAATAACTACGCATACATTTTCATTGCTTTGATTGCATATGAACTGACGTATGTACTGAAGTGTTTACTAGAGCGTATAGACGTCATAATGTGAGCTTATGCCCACTGACTTTGAAATATAATGTTAAATTGAAGTCTTAATCTTTTTGATAATTTGATATTTAGTGTAATGCTTACTATTGCTACACGCTGGGGTTCGGGATAAATAAAATTTCACCAAAGTACAACTTAAAAACTGTATTCAACACTTAGAACACTTAAAACACTCAACAAACACTTTAAAACTCTCAATTCGTTTGTTCCGCTTCGCTTCAGGTGATTCGTTCTGTTATAAATGGTTCCCGTATACAATAGTGCTAAGGAACCCCATTACAAATCACAAAGTCAGCAGTTTTATAATCTCTTTATAATTACTCGTATAATTCAAGTCAGTTTGAAACCATCATCCGCGCGCGTGACACTTGCCCTAAATTGAGCCCAATTTATTGTAATTTAATTAAATAAATCAATTTTTCCTTAATTTCATTTTTTAAAAAGGCCTTCGGCCAAATCCCTATAACAATTTGGTGGCAGCGGTGGGATACCGAAGGTTAAGGTATCCCTGGGACGTCTCCGTCCGGGCTCATTAATTAGTGAAAAACTAAAAGTGAAAACTAAAGTGACCTTGCCGCGAGTGTCAAGAAGTGCATCAAACTCATATCCATCTCAATTCCAATANTACTCTCGGCCCCGGGGCTGTTATAAATGGTTCCCGTATACAATAGTGCTAAGGAACCCCATTACAAATCACAAAGTCAGCAGTTTTATAATCTCTTTATAATTACTCGTATAATTCAAGTCAGTTTGAAACCATCATCCGCGCGCGTGACACTTGCCCTAAATTGAGCCCAATTTATTGTAATTTAATTAAATAAATCAATTTTTCCTTAATTTCATTTTTTAAAAAGGCCTTCGGCCAAATCCCTATAACAGTTCGCTGTTTCGCTTCGAGTAGTTCGGTTACTGACTGACTGCATGTCATCTCTACAACGCTTTTATAGCCGATACCTCATCCCTAGAATTATCGAGAATATTCCACACATCTCTAGTAGTAGTTTCCGCTATCTGACAATAGATGATGTTGTACTTCTCGAGCGTTGTAGATACTACTAGATCCTTCGATATTCGTTCGGCTATTCGGCGATAGATGGCGTTACTTTTACCGGCGTAACACTAGCTTAAATGGACAGAATGAAACCAAAAAACGTATGAACTAAAAGAGCAAACAAAGAAAGTCCCTCGCTACGGCACATTGCGATGGAGACATGGTTGAAGGAGGAAAATCCAGGGAGCGTTGGCGTCAGGCAGGCAGCGGGTCGTTGGACAGCTCGTGTCAAATTCCAATGCAGCATGATAAGAGAACACGCTGCGCTGCCCCCACACATGTGGGACTAGCAGGCCGCTCCGGCTTCCGCTAGGGTCTCGGAACAAAAATTTCAACGATATTTGACGTCGTTTTTTTTTTTAAATAAAAGAACACTTATTGCGGCATAACTATAATAATAAGACGTATGTTGTCACGACACGTTTTGTAAATAATAATGTGTTCTACAAAGTCATAGTACATTATTTTATTCTATCATCAATAGTTTTCGCAGGGCACGCGATGTAAATAATATTTTAGGTAATTTTTTTACACCCTGGGTTACATTATTGGAGTTTGAGTTCTTTTTTTCAAAAAGATTATAGCCTATGTCACTCGGGAATAGTGTAGCTTCCAAAGAGTGAAAGAATTTTTCAAATCGGTTCAGTAGTTTCGGAGCCTATTCAATACAAACAAACAAACAAACAAATCTTACCTCTTTATAATATTATTATTATTATTATAGTATAGAAGTATAGACAAAATTCTATAGCCTAATAACTCAATCTACTCAACCAATGTTCCAGCGGAAAGCCCGCGGTGAAGACCTGCTAGACAGAATCTGCGAGGATCTTGACGTCGCAGAGAAAGATTACTTTGGACTTCTGCACCTCCAGCGAGGGGACCCCAGGGTGTGGGTCGATCTCAACAAACGACTGTCCAAGACTTTTAGAAGTAAGTTTGAGACAATTACGCCAACAAGCTCGTTCTGTATGTTGTTTATTTTTTTATTTTTTTATTGTTCAATTGTGTGGACGAGCTCACAGCCCACCTGGTGTTAAGTGGTTACTGGAGCCCATAGACATCTACAACGTAAATGCGCCACCCACCTTGAAACACAAGCTCTAAGGTCTCAAGCATAGTTACAACGGCTGCCCTGCCTTTCAAACCGAAACGCATTACTGCTTCACGGCAGAATTAGGCGGGGCGGTGGTACCTACCCGCGCGGACTCACAAGAGGCCCTACCACCAGTAAAGAGGCCCTACCACCAGAGGTGGGTTTTACAGCCCGTATAGCAAGGTTTTAGGACCGTATATCACTTTAGGACGCTATTTTCTTAAATCAGTCGTTTTAATAACCAATGTATGGGACTAGCGTACTACCACAATGCAGTTTTCGGGCACAATGCAAAGTTTGAAGAGTTAGCTCTCGTTTCCAATGTTGTTAAAATTAAAAATTCGATCAGAAGTCTAAATAGACCGGGCAGAGAGGACGTCTAGTTGCGAATTCCGCCTCTTCATCTGTCTAGCCTTTGTTTTTACTGCGAATATTAAAGCTTATGACCGATTGACCGAAAGATGACCAGTGACCTTCGAAAAATCTAACAGATGAACCCTGGGAAGTAATGTTTGCTGTTAAATTCTATCCCCCTGAACCTACGGAGTTGGAGGATGAAGTGTCCCGATATCAAATCGGTTTGGCCGTCAAGAAGGATATTGCCGAAGGTATGATTTCATGTAAAACTAATTTACCTAAAGCTAATTTCAACATTTGATTTCAATAAAAAATTAACACCAATCTATCCATTTCGATAAAGCGGCACGACACGAGAATCCTCTATTCATGGCCGCCGACAACTACATTCCCGATGGAATGGAAAGCAGTCGATGTCGCCTACTAGTTAAGGTTACGCTGAAATAGCCTCTCAAGGCTATCAGCATAGGTAGGGAAAAAAGCAATCTACAAATAAGTATCCACAGAACTGGCACTTAGTGGCGGAGAGTATTGATGGCCGATTGAACTTCGCAAGCTGTCTGTAAGTAAGAAGCGGGGAAAGTGCAGTTATGATAACACAAACAATTTACTATATTGTATTCAGTTTTCATGAGCCGCAGAAGTAGTAGGAATCATTTTCCCATAGACACAAACGATTGTTTTCTCGCCGGATCTTCTCAGTGGGTCGCCATTTCGGTCCAGTGATAGATTCGGCGAAGCTCATGCTGGGGCTAGTGTTAGCAAATTCTCTCAGGTTGAGCCTGTGAGCTATCCGTCCGCGCGTAGCTGGAAATATTAGATTTTTTCTAAGGATTGTGATTGGTATAGGTGTGCGGAGGAGCGAGCCTCACGACTCTCCTAGTGTTGAGTAGCTAACGGAGCCCAATGCGCTGTGAGTCGTTGTCTACCTTGAGACATGAGGACTTAGTCTCATTGAACTGTAATTATTCATTACTTGTAGTGTGCCTGTGTGTTGTATTGGGCTAGAGTGTGTGTGTGCGGGTACGGTGACGAAGGAGTGTTCTTCAGTTCTAAGCGTCCTGAACGTCCGCAGGTCGGCTGCCCTGCTCCCCCATCACTCTAGCGCTGCTGAGCTCGTACGAGCTGCAGGCGGCGGCGGGAGACCACGGGGCGGGGTGTCAGTGTGGGGCGCTGCTGGCGGCCGCCCCGCCCCCACCCGCGCCCCTCGCGCGCTCCGCCCTGCAGGACAACGTGCACGCCCTCTATCTGAAACACAGGTACGGCTCCATGGTTTGCCGATGCCAAAACTTATTTCTTCTTCTTTGTCTCCTCCTTATCCCACTAGGGGGATCGACACAGTGAATTCTTCTCTTTCATTCTCTTCTATCAGCCGTCATCTCACTCCTCTCTCTCTCATTATGTCACTCACACACTCCATGTCTTTTTCGGTCGACCTCTTCCCCCTCTACATTTTTTGTCAGTTACATTTTGTTCAATATCCAATTTACAATTCTGACTGACAGTAATGTGGTTCTCTTCTTCTTAGTCGCATATTTCATTACTGAAGGTCGTGTCCCTGAAAGCTCTTCGTGGCTCTTTGTACCATCAGTTTCCATTTCCTTCGGTTTTCGGTTCCTCGCAGGGCGATCGCAACAGAGAGTCCAGTGAGCGCCTGATCTGACCAACGGTTTGGCGGCCGGCCGGCGGGTCATTTCCCTTCTGCCTTGCCCACCACAGTAAATTTTTCCATGTTGCTTGTTGGCCGCCGAGTAACCTGACCAAAGTAACCAAGAACCTTCAAGACGAAGACACTAATCTAATTGCACTAATATATTATATCCCAAAACTTGGTATGAATGAGCGGTCGGTTGATCGGCTGTCGGTCGGCAGGGGCATGAGTCCGGCGCAGGCGGAGCTGCAGTACCTGGCGAGCGCCGCGCGCCTGCCGCTGTACGGCGCGCACACGCACGCCGCGCGTGACGTCACGCTCGCACTCTCCGCCGCGGGACTCGCGCTCTGCAACGAAGGGTACCGACACTACACTCGCACTACACACTTCACATTACACGTCTCACACCTCACGTCTCACACCTCACGCCTCACACCTCACGCCTCACACCTCACACCTCATGTGCGAGTCATGTATCGTATAGGGCACGCGCGTATTCTGTTTGATACCGTACACCTCAGATGCCAAAAAGTACACATTCACATTCATTTTGCGCTAAAAACAATAAACATTTTTTGTTTTCTTATTGCTGACAAACACACAAATACGCGCCAGCGACACCAGAGGCTGGGCCTTCAGGAGTCGAGCAATTCCGCGCCCCGCCCCGCGGCTACACCTCATAGCCCTGACCATTCATCGCAACCAAAATTGTTTGATGTGTGTTGAAAAAAACTAGTCCACGTTTCCCAGGTCTCCACAGTTAGGATCAGATCTGTACATAAAGGAGCGGGGGGTCCATGACACACTCTCGGTTTGTTTAATTTCAACAACTTAATTTCCTCAACCTCCAGAAGGCTTGCAGACGTGTGAAGGGCTGACGACGGCCCGGCGCCTGGTCAGGGTCGCGAGCCTGCAAATGTGATGATGTGAAATCCGCAGCGTGGTGCTGAGCCGCTTCCCGTGGCCGAAGATAATAAAGATGAGCTACAACAAGCGCTCGTTTACACTGAAGCTGCGGGCCAGCGAGTTCGACGAGTTCGAGACGGACGTGAGCTTCAAGCTGCCCTCGACGAGAGCTTGCAAGAAGCTATGGAAGTGTAGCGTGGAGCATCATATCTTTTTTAGGTACGAGGTTTGGCGTGTTTCTATATTTTAAGCTTACAGTTCGAGGATATAGTGGCTGGAAAGCAAGCGTCGCCCATGACCATAAGAACATTAGTATTTAAGCTCTCAGCCCACCTGGTGTTAAGTGGTTACTGGAGCCCATGGACATCTACAACGTAAATGCGCCACCCACCTTGAGATATAAGTTCTAAGGACTCAGTATAGTTACAATGGCTGCCCCACCCTTCAAACGCATTACTGCTTCACGACAGAAATAGGCAGGTTGGTGGTACCTACCCAAGCGGACTCACAAGAGGTCCTGCCACCAGTAATAACAATCTTCTTCTTCTTCCTTCTTTCTTATTACCATCTGCTGGGGTGTACGGCTCGAATTAAATCTTTCTATTTACATCGGTCTCGGCCTTTCATCATCAATGAATAACACTATTAATACTATATTCGTGTTACAGACGAGAGGCTCCGGTGTCTGTCCCGGGCCGGCACGGAGCCTGGGGCTCTCCGTCCTGCCGCCGCACGCTCCGCCAGCTGCGGGCGCGCCCGCCACACCTGACCTCCTGATGCTGAACCTGTTCGACTGCATGCTGGTTCCTGGACAGAGATCCATTTGAGTGAAAATTAATCACTCGTTTTGTATATACGTGTCTACAGTGTTCCAATACGAGAGATGTTCCAGTTGCTTCGGTACTCACGACGGCTCACGGCGGCCATCGTACACATACAGTCAGTACTTGCGAACATCGTCGGAAATGAATCTGTGGCGATTACCATCACAGAACACAAGATATTTGACAGATGTCTGAATCTGGTAGGCTGCGGCTTGACTCTGCCCCTGGCATTGCTGAATTTCATGGGCGACGGTAACCACTCACCATCAGGTGGGACGTATGCTCGTCTGCCTACAAGGGAAATGAAAAAAACAAAAAATCGCTTACAACATTTTCAAGATAAGCTTGCGTATATACAAGTTCTGAACAACATTCGGACCGTCGGTCTACCGAGAAACATTACCAGCTCTGTGGAAGATCTTCCCTCCGTCGTTATACCTACAAATAAAACTATTACGCGTCTGGAAGTAGACTTGAGTAGATACAGTATGCGCGCGAGTTAATGTCCATCGGGGCCAGAGGCGACGCGCGGGGGACAGCTCGCCCCGCCTTCGCCCACCTCCCCGCATTTGTATGACGTCGAGTGTTGTCCTTGACGGTTGTGACGCGCGCTTATCGATATCGAAAATTTACGCAACGCTATTGTGTTATTTAACCATGACTACTCACTCCGCTTCCAACAAGTTCAGATAGAAAAAAACTTATTGAAAAAAGATACATACTAATTCCGACTCTGATCTGGCGGTTGTCTTTTCATTTGATAGTAATTGAATTGGAATTTAAAAAATATTTTTCTCTATTAGAAATAAACAAGTAATTACTTATCACATTTATTTTATTTCATAAATTGCAAAATTACCTTAAGTTACCTTAAGTTACCTTAAACCAAATTGACAGCTGTTGACTAAATCCGTAGTTATTATCGACATTACCATAATTAACTAGGTCACAGCACTACCGCATTCTTCAGGATGGACTTGAACTCGCGCGCCTACTGTACTTTACTTTTATTTTGATGAGCGCTCAGCACCGCGTGGTGGGTGCGGCGCCGGCGGGCGCTCCGCCCCTCCAAGTACCGACGTCGCAGGATCAACTTCCTCTGCTTCTACTGCTTCTTGCTCGTAGTGCTCATCAATTTTTAGCTTTTAAGATTTAAATTGTAAGCAACTTATATAAATTACATTGTAATGTTTAGAACGCAAGTGCCATTATTATTATAAGTCGATAAATAAATTACTGTAATAGCTTATTTATAAAATTTAGGATTTATTTTACGATAACTACATTAAAATCTGTGGACAGATAGTGGCGTGTTTTATTTCTATTTTTTCTCTCGTCAGCTCATGTGAACCTGCGAGGCCTCACGGGCGCTCAGAGTTCGGTCTGAAGCTGCGGATTTGTTACGAACTAGGGTTCGGGGTAAATAAAATTTCACCAAAGTACAACTAAAAACTGTATTCAACACTTAAAACACTAAAACACTTCACAAACACCTTAAAACAATCAACAAACACTTTAAAACTCTCAATTCGCTTGTTCCGCTTCGCTTCAGGTGATCCGTTCGCTGTTTCCCTTCGAGTAGTTCCGATTACTGACTGCCTGCGCGCCATCCCTACAACGCTTTTATACCTCATCCCTAGAATCATCGAGAATATTCCACACATCTCTAGTCGTAATTCCCGCTATCTGACAATAGATGGCGTTGTAATTCTTGAGCATTCTGGATTATTCGATATTCGTTCGACTTTTCGGCGATAGATGGCGTTACTCTTACCGGCGTAACAATACTTTAGTGACGTAGAGGAATATTTAAGAGAAGACTTAGTCATAGATTTTAAAATCCTCGTCCAAATTCCTCGTCCCCGCGTGTATTGTTGTTGTGGATGTTTCAAGAACATCATGTGCTGTCTCGGTTAATAAACATTGACTATCAAAAATTAGAGATTATTTGAGATGAACCAGGCAAGTTCTTTTATCACTGGATCCGTTCGCCACCGGAGCCAACTGCTTTCTTACTTGGAGCCGCTCAAATTCGTCCAGGATTATGGGTTACTTTACTTTTGTTTATTGCGCTTGTAAGCAGACGAGCATATGGCCCACCTGATGGTGAGTGGTTACCGTGGCCCATGGACTTCAGCAATGCCGGGGGCAGAGCCAAGCCGCTGCCTACCGCTTAATACTCTCCACAAGCCTCGTTTGAAGAAGGACATGTCATAGCGCTCGGGAAACCGTGGAGGGGAATTCATTCCATAGCCGAATGGTACGTGGCAAAAAAGGACTCTGGAAACTCACAGCCGATGAACGCAGCGGTTCCAGATATTATGGATGAACTCTGTTCTGGTGGCGGGCGGTGCGATGGTAAAAACAAGATGACGGTATCATCTCAAACAATTCCTCAGAGCACTTCCCATGGAACATACGGTACAAAATACAGAGGGAATCGAAGTCCCTCCGCAGGCCCAGAGGTTCCAAACTATCCGTGAGAATGGGATTATCGACAATCCGAACGGCCCTCTTCTATATGGAGTCAAATTTGGGAGCCCCGACCCAGAGATGGGAGCAGTATTCCACGCGAGGCCGGACTTGCTCTTTATAAAGCAATCCACGCACTATGCGGCTGTGGGATGAACCCCTATAGTGTTCCTTAACACTACGGCATTAAATCGACGCGGGCTACAGAATATGACGCCCGGTAACTTGTATCGAGAGAAAAAAACTTCCTACCTTAACTGGTAACCTAGGGGCTTATGCCAGCGTAATCGGGCGAGTAAGTCAGCTCACGGGATATCACAACGTATAGTATAGTATGGTAGCTTGCTCACCCAACTACATTCTACATACGACATGTTTTTCTTTAAACAGGATTTTTGAAGCTTACTTATGTCCCTAACATGGTTTATGAGTGTAGGTGCCTTTCAATGGAGTAAAAATGCCTTATGCACATATATTTATTTCTAAATCACGTTCAATTTTAACGTGACACGTAGAAGCTTCAGCACAGATGTTTTAAATTAGATTACCATACAACGATATTCCGGCTTGCACGTGTGGACTCCGAGAGACGTCAAGTCATTAAATGACGCCAAGAATGCAAATGACCACATCAGTGATATTCTCGCCATGCGCGGATGAGTCTACAATGTAAAACTTGTGATTACATGGCATTACAATACTGCTTTAAGTCACTTAGCGTATTTTTTTTATTTTTTTTTATTGCCTAGATGTGTGGACGAGCTCACAGCCCACCTAGTGTTAAGTGGTTACTGGAACCCATAGACATCTACAACGTAAATGCGCCACACACCTTGAGATATAAGTTCTAAGGTCTCAGTATAGTTACAACGGCTGCCTCGCCCTTCAAACCGAAACGCATTACTGCTTCACGGCAGAAATTTGGCAGGGTGATGGTACCTACCTGTGCGGACTAACAAGAGGTCCTACCACCAGTAAAAAATGTATAGTGTTTTCAATAAATTCTCGTTTTACATACCTTCGAAGTCAGACGAGTATATAATGCTCTTAGACATCACCGATTTCTTTAAAAATGACCATACCGCCTTACCTACAAGATGGCACATATCTACTATCTACCAAATATAGGCACTATCTACCAAAATAGGGACAGTCCTTAAAGAATATTTATAGATAATAACATAAAATAGATAATTCTCTGAACAACAACTAACCACCGTAACTATTACGGCCTACATATATGTGCCAATGCGGTATTTTTTCATTAATGAAATTCGATTTGTTGCATCATTTCGTGTCTTCTAAACATCTACCTATCATATTTCGTAATACTTTCAGTAGAACATACGTGCACAGACCAACATTATCGGAAAATTATTTATGAAATGAACACGCCAAGCGTGCCTTTTAATAAATAAATCTATGTTTTTGTTTCTCTAGTGTTTTTTATTTGTTTATTATGCTGGTGAGGATTTTTAATTGGCTTTTTGTTTATATTATTTCTTATATTATTACACTATGTTAGTTGGCTGTTGGTTCTCTCTGTAGTAAAGGCCATAAATACTGTTACAATTAAAAATAAACAAAATATTACATTTGAATTTAGAATCTGTCATTTTTATATGATTGCTCATTGAGTTTTCTCATTTTGGCGCCAATACATTGTACAATATTTTGCGATATTAAAATGGAGTGGGGTGATAAAGAGAACCGAATCGCTATGATTGCATTACACAAAGTAGGTATGGAGCCAAATGCAATTTTTAAAACTCTCCATACGCTTGGTATTAGTAAAATGTTTGTGTACCGGGCTATTAATAGGTGCAATGAGACCTTCTTTGTTTGTGACAGAAAAAGATCTGGCCGTCCACGTAGTGTTCGTACGAAAAAGGTGGTCAAAGCAGTAAGGGAAAGAATTCGAAGAAATCCTGTCCGAAAGCAAAAGATTTTATCTCGGGAGATGAAGGTAGCACCTAGAACCATGTCGCGTATTTTAAAAGATGACTTAGGACGTGCAGCCTATAAGAGACGTACTGGTCATTTCTTAACTGATAATTTAAAAGAGAATAGGGTGGTAAAATCGAAACAACTACTGAAGCGGTAGGCAAAGGGAGGTCATAGAAAAATTTTGGTTACGGATGAGATTTTTTTACAATTGAGCAACATGTTAACAAAACAAAAAAAAAACAAAACAAAAAATACAAAAATAACAAAACACAAAAAACAAAACAAACAAAATGACCGTATTTATGCTCAAAGCTCTAAGGAAGCTTCCCAATCAGTCGACAGAGTGCAACGTGGGCACTATCCGACTTCAGTGATGGTTTGGTGCGGTATTAGCTATGAAGGAGTGACTGAGCCATACTTTTGTGAAAAAGGTATCAAAACATCGGCACAAGTGTATCAAGATACCATTCTTGAAAAGGTAGTGAAGCCCCTAAACAACACCATGTTCAATAATCAAGAATGGTCCTTCCAGCAAGACTCGGCGCCAGGTCATAAAGCTCGGTCTACGCAGGCTTGGTTGGAAACGAACGTTTCGGACTTCAT